TCGTGAATGAATTGTTAACAATAAGATTTTTATTTAGTACCAACTTTTTTAGAAATTTTCAAGGTTTCATGACATATAAAGCATTTACATTAATGCAATAGTTAAATGAGAACGCTTGCAAAACTTTATTAACAATTAACATTTAATTCTTAGGAATATCTTGTGTTAGTTTAGTTGTTTTGCCAACAGCATGTGCCAAGAAAATGAATGTGAACTGTTAGAATCTTCCTAAATGTTCATTCTAGGGATGCTCATTTTGGTTCATTTTCCCGACCGATAACCGCCACTCGTTATCCGAGGATTAACCACTGGGTTAAACTGTTTAACTGGTAGTATTAATTGGTCAAAATTTATATTTTTGGTTAAAGGTTAAACAGTCAATATGAGCATCTCTAGATCATTCAAAAGATCTTCCTTGAATCACTCTCCTGCCCATGTTGGTAGTTGGTAGCTTTTTTCCGGTCAATTTTCCACTCCTGTGGAACAGGACCCTGTAAACTACTCCTCCCAGGACAGCTGTTCAAGACTGTAGCTTAAGTTCTGCTCTGGTTGATATGAACAGTATTTATAGGGTCCTGGGATTATTTCCAGCCAGGCTGCCCGACTGCCAGTGGAATCGTGCTTTGCATGGTTTATTTTGCTCTCTTGTTTTTGATGCACACACAGTCAGTGTGACAGTTCGGACCATATGCATATGCTAAAGGTTTACAAACCCACCCCCATCTCCTAACGAGCTGCTTCTAGATTCATTCTTATACTTTTATAGGTCTGTCATCACATGCGTCTCCTGTCACATGTGTGTCGCCCCTCCACTGGTTTCGTATGTCAGTAAACAGAATCTTTGCCCTCTTCAGAGCCTTTCGAGTTGTTCTACTTGTCCTGCGCTACCCGCCCCTCACCCACCTTTAGAGGACATGGTATTGACCTTGATCCCTGATGGGCGGGGGTGGGTGTTTACAGTCCATGCCTTTGCTCTAATCCGAGCTGAAGGGCTATCTCCAAACATGGATCCCAAAACATTTTGTGTTCACTTTGAGAATAGTGCAGTAACTTTTGCTTTTAAAGAGTACAAATTCACAACCGCTAAGGGGTGCTAAACTGTTCAATGTAGGCAGGGCCACTTTTTCTAAAGGGGCTACAACTCTTGAATAGAATGAGATATTTTCACCAAACTCAGTTCAGGTGTATCGGCTCAATCTTTTGTCACAGTAAAGAAATAGTTTGTCACAGTAAGAAACATTTGAGTTTGTTTTTGTAATTGCATTTTGTCATGGTTTGAATTTGTCAACAAAATGTGTGTGAAAATCGCTAGGAGACGCATTTAGTAATCATCATTTATTTCAAATTTCTGTAATTTTGTCAATTCATCACTTCATTTCTATTGAAGCTTCAGTTGACAACTGTGCCACATAATTCATGTGAAACCTGATAATGTTGTTATAAAGAGGAGACTCTGACTAAGGGTTTTAATACTTATCATTTATTTCAAATAGCTGTATCTTTAACGGTGTGTGTGCATTCTCCATCGTGAATGTGTTATGGTTGTCATCCCTAATTTTTGAGTCAACCTAGACCTAAGTAGCACCCATGTCATATAGGCTGTAAACCTCTTGAACCTTGATAATTGCTGCTCGATAATTGAGATATTATCAATAATATCTATCATGAATTCTTTTGGCCATGACAATTGTGTAATATAAATTTTATATTGTGGCAACCCTAATGCACACATTCACAGTGTATTGTACATTAATCATTGCCATAGCAACCGTATCCATGGCAGTGCCTGGGAAAGCGGTGTCATAGGCACTCGACTGGGTCTCAGTCTGTGTATTAGTAAGCGCGTCAGGTGGACCCTTCTCCTCCCCGCTGAGATCCACCACTCTGTGGTCGTTTGTGAAGCAGGCATGCTAATTGAGGTGTCTGACTGAGCAATGATGTGAAAGCATCATTGGAAATATTGGGGGAGGGACATATGTCGACAACGTACATTTAATCAATGTGAACAAGAGCCGTTTAGGGCCGGTCAAGTGGTCTTTAAACGACTTCCCTTGGAATTCTGTCTTTGTATTTCTAATCGTTTCATGCATAAGAGGCGTCCAATGGAAATTGGATCTTCTTTTAAAATAAAATATTTTTAGCATTGCTCCATCCAACTTTTAAATTCTTTATCGTGGACATTTTTATTTTATTTATTTAGATATATTTTAGCTATGTCAGGGCTCCAGACTGTGACCAAATGGTCGCATTTTATGACCAAAATTTGAGAGTGTGCGACTGAATTTTACATAAACGATGTTTATAGACTATTAATATACATTTCACTACTTTTGTTTTTAAATTAATATTAAGACATTATGAATGATAATAACTAAAGTTAATTTCATCTACACCCTAAATTAAGCTTAGTGAGCCCCAGTGCTACCACTTTTTTTTTTTTTTTTTTTTTTTTTTTTTTTGTAGAACTCATTGTGAGTTTGCATTTGTGGTGATGCTGCCCTCAAATTTGAGTCTGAAGCCTTTTGAACTTAAAATAAATCTGCATATCGTAATATCTGTACGCTAAGTCTATTTATTATTAAAGGGCACCTATTATGCCCCTTTTTACAAGATGTAATATTGGTCTCTGGTGTCCCTAGAATGTATTTGTGAATTTTCAGCTCAAAATACCCCACAGTTAATTTATTATAACCATTTGAAAATGTCATTTTGGGGCCTGCTTAAAAATGACCTGTTTCGGAGGTATATGGCTTTAAATGCAAATGAGCTGCATATCCCCGCCCTGCCTTTGGATGAGGGCGTAACTTGATACCTATGGCAGTCGGTAAGCAGAAGGGCTGAGAGAGTGAGAGACGCGCTGTTTTGAATGTCATTCAGCGTACGTTTGAATCGGAATATATAAATAGCACGAAGAGACTCCGGCAGAATAAACACAAATGAGAATGGACCAGTACGTCTCGGTATGGTTATTTGATACATTTATGTACTTTAGCGTTGTAATCGTGTTCCCTTTGAAATGATGGGCATGTGCAACACACACACACAGACACATTAAACACTAATGCTAGCGCATTTTTTTTAAAATTACATACACATACTGTGATAAAGTTTGCTACGTACAAGCGAAATTACATTTATGCGAGGGAAAGGGACCTGTGGCGTCATGTTTACTTGTCATACGGGTGCTTCTGTGGCAAATGTGAGGAGATGGCTAACATACAGAAAAACAACATATATGCAGTTTTTAATACAATATCTTTAAATATATATAAACGTGTGGTTACACACTATACAAACAAGGTTTAAATTATATAGCCTACACAGACATCCTACGACGACAACAACTTTAGACGCATTTGTTGTTGAATTGGCTGACATTGACTGAAAAGACTATTTGCTCAAAAATCATAAAACACACTTACTGTTACTGGATGTGACGGTGGATCGCAAACAGTAGATGACGATCCACAGTTGAGGATTAACTTTTAAGCTACAACAACAGGATTAACCCACGAGTCCACGACAGAACACTTATGTTTCCAAGAGACATAACAGGTAATGGAGGATGATTTGTACACTGTACAGATCACCGAGGGCGGGGTCTAGGCCACAGCCACACTGTCAATCAACCCCCTGTCTCCCGTTCTACGTCACAAAGAGCTGAATCTCAGAACAGCTCGTTCTGAGGCAGTGCATATGATTTATTGAGATTGTAAAAAAACCACTGGGTGGATTTTTATCATTCTAGGGTGGTTTTGCTCACACACTGCCAACACACATTTATGTTCAAACACCATGTAAAAGTGAATTTTCCATAATAGGTGCCCTTTAAAGAATTTGTCCGTATTACGGTTATTTTGGGGGAAATTTTAATAATTGCTTTGCAAGCTGATTTAAGGTGTGCCGCTAAATTTTCTGCTTGTGCTCCTGAAATTTTCAGTCAGGGGCAACAGCACTCCTAGTAAAAAAAGTTGGTCTGTAGCCCTGTATGTTATAGTTTTGAAAGGTGTAAGGTGTTGAAAGCTTGGGTGGTGGGTAATTGTCAGCTTTGAAATTTTTTTTTGAACACTATAGCACCTCCAACTGTTCAGACAGCTCTACTGTAGCATAATGGCTTTCTTTTGAGGTTCAGCTGTTAACCCTGGCCAATCAAACGGTCATGCACACCAACTGCAGACCATTTTAAATGATCACCGGGAGAATTGTGCTCAGAGCCTCATTGCTTTGCCCGTTCCACTTAAAATTGAAATATTTTTGGTCTTCACTTAGATCAGTGCATTAGTCTGCAATGGACTTACACTGATCAAAAAAACTAGCTTTTTATGTATAACCTGTACATTTTTAGAGACTGAATTTGGCTAATATGCAGAGATTTGGATTAATATTCTATTAGGGATGCTACGATCAGAGTTTTTGCAGCCGATAACGATTACAGAACGATCGGCCGATCCTGACCATTCAAGCTTTATTTAAATAATGACTAAGCTCTCTGTTGAATGTCTTTTTTTTTTTCAGAAAGCTAAAATCATGTGTAATTTACAGTAATACTATTTTTTTTTTTTTAATTGCTGCTCGCAAAACTTAGTGTGTTCTGAACAACATTATAATAATATACTAAAAATTAGTAGAAAGACTTCCAAGTTCCAGAATTTTTACAGTCATTTTTCTGGTGAAATTGCATGTGGCGCAATTGACTAATTGTTGCACTGACTAATTGTGAAAGTGGTGGTGTTCTACTCAGATTCCCAGTTTGTGGTAATGTGCTCTGGGTAATCTTTAACTCTCTTGGGTAGTCTTTAACTCGCTGTGAGGCTGCATTAGAGTGAGCCTGAGGCCTGTCATCAATGGCAAGAAAGTGTCGCAATCTCTCACACTTGACTCTAAGTTTGATGTCCTGTAAAAAAAAAAAAAAGAAAAGGAAAAAAATCCTGTCATCACAACTGCTCTCTCTCTCTCACTTTCACTCACTCACTCACTCACTCATCGCCTATGTTTCTCAGGAGGAGCAGAACAGAGGGAAGCCGAACTGGGAGCACCTAAATGAAGAGCTGCATGTGCTGATCACAGTGGAGGACACGCAGACTCGTGCCGAGATCAAGATGAGAAGAGCGGTCGAAGAGGTCAAGAAGCTGCTGGTGCCTGCAGTAAGTTGCAAACACGTTTATACTTCCCGATCGTACTTGTGGTAGTGAAAGTGAAATGTTACCAATGTTTTGACCTCTGAGATCATCTCCACGGATCTGCCCAAGGCTTGTGATTTGATGTTATGCAACGCTGTTGAATCTGGCAACATGCTCTATCTTGCTTTGTTTTCTGGGTGTGATGCCTTTGTGCATATGGGGTAGATTTTAATTCCACCCTTGACCCTGGCTTCAGTCTTCTAGATTTGATATTTTTATCTCAGGCTCCCAACAGAGAACAAATGGTGCTCTGCAACCTGCTTCCCACATATTTCCGCCCCATTCCACCTTTCTATTCTCCACTCCTCCAACAGTTTCCGCAGGGGGTGGGAGTGCTTAAGTCAGGGTCTCTGGCTCCAGGCTGTTTTTCCTGCAGTGAACAGAATGGCTGGACAGCTGCAAGAGCCTGTTTCCTATCAGGCAACATGGTGGAAAGGCTTTGACCCGCTGAAACATGGCCAGAAGCCATGTGCCGTTCCACCCAGCCATGTGCTTCTCACTTCATTTCAGAGTGGGACAGAGTCCTGGACGTTCTCTGACTGCTCTTAGGCATTGGTTGTCTCCTGTTTCTTTTTGCAGGTTTTTTTTTCCATCTCTCTCTTGGCCAGAAAATCCAAATTTTGCCCCTTTTATTGGGGATTTTTTTTTTCCTCTATGCTCATATCTCTTGTTCCGTTTCAGCGGGGAGGCCTTAAACCTTCCACACAAATGCACAGAAGTACACACACGCGCACATGCTAGTCAGGAAGAAAACAAACATACACGACTGGCTGAGTGTGTGTGTGAGTCATTCTGTACTGTGTGTGGGTGGGATATGAGTAAATGGCTACATGCTCTCCAAATTTTCACACTGACCCTATGAACCCCTGAGATCAAAGTAATCTTCACTGTGTATTATCGCTTTTTTGCCATAAACACACAAATATCAATGCTCAGGATCTCTGGAGGGGACCGTATTTGCTCTCTACTCCTGTATTTCATTCAATGTTACCCAACACTCTTGGTATTTTATACAAAACTAATATCTTTTTTTAGAACAGATTTTTATAGCATAGGTCTAACATATTGTACTTTTTTTTTTTTTTGACCAAATGACAGGCAATGTGGTTCAGTAGTGTTTTGAGCCCCACCGACTTCAATTGTGAACAAAAACATTTTGAGCCATAATTCTAAAAGCCTCACAAATACATGAAAATGAGTATTTAATTTGATGTTACCATGGCAACACTATTTACAATATTAAGAGTACTTTTTCAGTTTTGTATCAGCCGTGTCTTGAAGTTGACAACAAGTTTGAAGCAGTTTGTGCAAATGTAAGATGATGATTTCTAAGTTTTTGTAAGTGACACTTCCTGCTGCATTATGACCGTGACTTGCAGTAGTCACGACCATGTGATCATTTAATGGAGGTAAGCAAATGATGGCAGAATTTATTTTTTTGGCTGATCTGTCAGTCCATACAGATAAAGTTCTTCTTAAACATGCTTTTTTCTGCTGGCTCTCTGTGTGGCGGATTGACTATTACCCTTTATCATGCCAAGCTAAACTGGATTAAATGACAAACCGTCCATCTCAGCCCATGCAGTCTTAATGAAGGATATCTTTGGCTCATTTAGAGGCATGAAATTGCCTTGTTAAATACATCATAAAACATACTGGGTCACAGTCTGTTTCCTCTCGACTCTATTCGTTTTGCCATTTTGGAAAGGATTTGATTGGTTAAAGCAGAGAGAATGGGGGCAGTTGCATTTCAGAGCTCTCATAGAGAGACTCTCTACTTTATAAACATCTGCTATATTGATTTTAACCTACCTTGAGAGGCAGCTAGCACATTACCACATGAATTTGTAATCCTGGCTTGAGCCCTGAAGAGTTGCCACAGTCGAACGGTTCCCGCTCGCAGAGACCCAAATTGAAATTTTCAGCCTTGCTTAAAGAATCAGTTCCTCACAGCATTTGAATGATCGTCAGACTCTGAGAGAGTGCATGAACGGCGGCTGTGCGTGCACACACAGCCTCAGAGGCCAGGGTTAGAAGGGGGTGATTGAGAGATTCGGCTCAAAGGCCCTGTGAACTTTTCAACTCCCAGCGAGAGACAGAGGAAGGGAGAGACACAGAGAGATTTGAGTCGAAGGTGGGCTGGTAATGAAGGTAGTAGCGAGTGAGAGGATTAAGGCAGGAATGTAATGGAAGGAAAAAGATAAAGATCGTGCCACACTTTTATATGTGGATCGCTTCCCACAGTTCTTCCACTCCAGTCTCACTTGTCTTTTCACTTACCCATCACATCACACACAGCCTTTCTGCTGTCGTTCAGATACCCACCAGCCTGCTTTCCACTTACACTGACTGAGTGCTGGTGATATGTTTATTTCACATTGCAGTTATTTTATTAATATATCATATATGTGAACTGATGGATCTTGTTCATAGGGGTGCACAATATATTGGTATCCACATCAGTTAATATCCATTTTTTTGTTTGTTTTGGTTGTTTTTAATATTTGTATTATCAACATTTAAAATGATTTAATGGTAATTTAGTGTTTTATTTAATTACTTTTGTTTTAGTATTTCTATTAATTTTAGAATATTGTGTTAGAATAACAATGCCATTTAGTAGTCAGAATTTGAATATCTCTTCTTGTGTACATTTTTCAATAATTTATTTATTGAAAGGTCTATTACTGTTGCATCACTGTTTTATATGGGTTTCTTCGGTTTTGCTGTTTTCTATGGGTTTCTTCATTTTAGACTAGTTGATCAGCACACATTATTTTGCAATGCAATATTAATTATGAATAAAAATATATTGCAGTGCAAGTGAAATTTAGGATTTGGGTCGAATTTACAAGTCAAAACTAGAATTATGAAGATAGGCATGTGTTTTTCTGTGTCTTGCATTCTCATAAAATAATGACACAAATATGACAACTCGTCACTTTGTGTCAGAAATTAGCGGAGGATAAACTCGCCTTTGCGTATCTGTCCCAGGGAAAAAAGTTAAGGCTCATGGTCTTTTTTCATCACCCCTGCATCAGGTCTACAAATCCAAATCTTTTTGAGTTTGACTTGGAGCGTAAAATGAAGATTTAGTGCTTCACAAATTCAGTTTTATCTGGTTTCGTACATTTACAGCTCATGAAATGATCAGTAACTTTAGAAGACAAGCGGTTCATGTGAGAGAACAAGGAATAGGAGGGCTGATGATTCCTTCTAAGATAACAGTTCAAATTTATGATGATGTGAGAATTGTGGAACAAATCACTCTCTGCAAGCTATGTGACACTAGTACTCTACTGCTAAACAGAAATGGAGGACGGTGGAGACAAATGCAGGTGTGGAATATGGACACAGATTAAACACTGATAGCTGTAGCTTGTTAGGTAAAACCCTCTGTTAAGTTGCATCGGTGATCTTATCTTTCAAATTGCATTTGCTAATTTTCATTTAAATTTGTTCGTTGTATTAGTAGATCTAATCGGTGTACTTTTAATGTACTTAATGTTTCCAAGCATCACCCTTTCCTGTATGTTAATTTATCCTTCAATCGTTTCTGTCTCTAAATTTGTAGACTTGGGTGCTTACTTTCCCAGTTTGCAAAGCTGCACGGATTATAGCAACTGCGCTTACAAAGCAGCTCTAATTTCGAGCAGATTCGATGACGAGCAGATGCCACAAACAGAGATCCCTTGTAGTCCAGGGACACATCTACATATCTGATCCCTGTTAATTTAATTTACTGGTTTATACTTGAGCCCATTTGGAGATGATCGGAGAGAATGAAACAGTGTGATTCCTTCCTACAAAGTAATTAGCCACTCAAATGTGTTAAAATCCTGACAAATTGGTTTTCTCGTTAGGGGTGCTAAACCCGGGAGAGCAGCCGCCCATGGTGGGTGTTGTGGATTTAGCTTTTTAGACGATGCAATGTGTCAAAGTTACCATTAGAGATTCTGTGCTACTTGGTGACATTGCTCATTTCCCCTCAAGGTGCGTGTTTGAGAGAGAATCTTTCTAGCATACAGCAGAAAGTCACTTATCAGTGACAATAGCTGTGTCGTCAGTATTTAAGGTCAGTGTTAATCCTGCTTTCCCAACATTCTCAAAAAACCCAGTGAAAGACCTTCTGGGTAAATGCTAGCCTGAGAGATTCTCCCTAAATAGCCCCTCGCTGCGAACTGTGCGCTATAGACACAGAGCCATTCTTTAGCATGTCTGCTCCCAGTTGGTATTGGTGCACTAGGGAATGATGGGAAATAGAAGCTCACACCTATGACATCTCATTAAGAATCTAGGCCAATATGTGTCCGTTCGCTTTACCTCTGCTAATTAAAATGGCATGTCAAAATATTTTTCTGGGTTATTTTAGTGTCAGCATGCTGGGTCAACAGGAGTGAGCAAAAGTTTAACCCTTTCACACGCAAGTTTAAAATACTCTAGCGGACCTTATTATTTCCATGTTATGCGTCATGCTTGTAATGGTACCCCGCAGCCACAATAGCTCTGTATTTAAAACAAATAATAATAATAATATACATATATACTGTATATAAAATAAATGTAAAGCAAATAGAAAAAAATACAGCTCAATTTTGGCTGCGGGGCCCCATGACAATCACTTAAATAGCAATGAAGATTACCTTTTAATTGTCATTTAAGTGAAATGACTGAACTTTACTGAAGTATACAAGCTTGATAAAAATGATCATTCTAGAATAAAATTTCAAATGGCACTTAGAGGCTTTTGCATCTGAACTCTTCATACAGTATATATAAACATAAACTTGTAAGCTATGTCTACAACTTCCTGATATTCTAATTCTCTAATATGTCTAAGTGAATGTGTTTACTAATAGTTTTTTTTATGGATGCCCCTGGTTATAAAGAACATGTGATCTCTTTTGTGTTCGGTGTTTGTCAGGGAGGAACTTCCTGCTAGATTGTGACATCTGTAGTAACAG